ACCATCAACCTTGTCACTATCAATTAAACTTCTTTTCTTCTTGGAAAATGAAGTAGAGAATTCCTCTATAATCTTTCTTTTATCTACTTAGAAAATGTTAAAATTCCTGCCTACACCATCACTATTTGAAGCACATGTCATTGCATTCTCATCATCATTGTCGCTAACGAGAACAACAATTGATCAAAAGACACACCCTGTCAGCTACTGTATCCAAGTTATTCTCTGTATCCAAGTTCATCCCGAGGATAATCACCAAAGCCACCAGACAGCTTTATGATGCCAATGAAGCAAGATCATGAGCTATTCAATAAAACTCGTATTGTAAAGAAGAAGAAAGAGACTGATTCAGAAAGGTGGGTCGAGGGTCGAGCCTCGACTATACATGTACGTTTTTTACTTTTCATTAAGTATTTTTATTTACTTTTATATAAATTTTGAAATACTAATTTAATATAATTTTTCTTATAGGTTCGCTTCACACCTGATGTGGAGCAATTCATACGCAGTCAGCCACCTAATGAGTCGGGCGAGGCAATCCAACATTCGGACGAGGATGTTGAAAGAACACTCCTTGAGTACTTTATGTACTTTGAACTAGACAATAGAACTAGCTTTCGAATGAGCTTGTAATAAGCGTTAACTTAGTTTTGTTAGCTTAATGTGTTAGTTCTATTGAACTTTATACTTCGTTGGTTTTAATGTTGTTGTTGTTGTTGTTGTGTTGTTGTTGGTATTGTTGTTGTTGTTGCTTGTAATAGGGATTTGGTATGCTGGCAGGTGGTGTAACTGCCAAAACAGGCAGTTTCTTCCAAAATAATACCCAGAAAAGCGACCAACTTTGGTCTCTTTTTGGTCGCTTGTCATTTAAAAAAAATAATTTGACGAGCAATAGCGACCAAAGTTGGTCTCTTTTTACCCAGATTTCTTAAAAAGCGACCAACCTTGGTCGCTATTCCATTAAAAAAAAATTAAATTCTTGACATTAGCGACCAACCTTGGTCTCCATTTTCCAGATTTTAAAATATAATATTTGGATTAGAGACCAAAGTTGGTTGCTGTTTTATGAATAATAATAAATCAATAAATAATATATTTTACATTTAGAGACCAACTTTGATCGCCAAATTTATATTATTAAAATAATAAAGCGACCAAAGATGGTCGCTATAGTCAATACCCGGAATATTTGGTCATTTTACCTTAGAGACCAAAGTTGGTCGCTAATTAGCGACCAACTTTGGTCCCTAAAGTGAAGGGACCAGCAATATAGCGACCAGGCATGTTTGGTCGCTTTTTGGTCGCTTTTGGGGCTATAAGCGACCAACTTTGGTCGCTTTTTGTGGTCGCTTTTTACCGGATTTCTAGTAGTGTAAATTTATTGTCAACAATTTGGTCTGAAGGTCATTTCCGTATTAGCGTTTATATATTCCACAATATAGATTCAACAACAGGATGTTTATAATGACTTATAAAATTTTTGAGTTGGTTATGTTGAATTATAAGTCGTATTAATAAATTTTGATACAAACACACTCTGAACTTGTTATGTTTGATTCATTTATTAACTTATTCCGCTTTTATCTAAGGATCCTTCCCTCTAATTTGACACCTTAGGACTGTCGGGTTTAAATCATAAATATCTAATCCACTCCTTAAACGGATTAATAATTGAGGAGTATTTTTTTTTTCCAACTTGGATTAACTAAGTCATATTTTATCTTTTTATTCATACACTCGACAAATGCTTGCCGTGTGGGTTCCGACTACCATTTCCAAATTCACTCAACACGCTTAAGAAAAGCCATAATCCCTACCGAAAACCAATCCCAACCTAACCGGGTCGACCCGTTACCTACCAAATCGTATTCTTCTCTTTCCTCTCCCCTTCCTTGATACTTCCCTTAAATTCATTGTCTTACGTCCAAATTCAATCTTGATAATCTCGAGTTGAATCAAATTGCCTCTAGAATCACATACCTTCGAGTTGATCATTGATCAATCGTCTACTCTAATCCTAACTTCTAATTAACAGGTATTGCGACGTAGACATCATCATTTCAGGAATTCATTCTTTCTCAGAGCTTTTAATTATAAATATCAATTACTTCTTGGTGTTTTAATTGCAGAATAAAGCTAGGTTTCGCCGTTGTCTGTTGTATAAGCAAAGATGTTTTCGAAGATATTTGGGAAACCCAAGCAGGAAACTAATGCTCTTGCGACTCTTGACAAATTAAACGAGGTATAATACATCGCTATTTGCCCATTAATTATAGTAACTGTAAATATTCAAATCAATAGTGGAAAAAGAATGTCAGTTGCTTTTGTTTGAACGCAGATCAATCGAATAATTGATCCCAGGAAATATTCCTAGGGTTCGGCTGTGAATTTATTGATACTGCTAAACTCTTTTAAGTCTTATACGGCTGACTTCATTTATTTGCATAAAGTACACCGAGTAGCTTTGGCGTAGGTCTACACCTAAACTAAATATCCTAAACTAGGTGTTCTAAATATCGTATTTAGAACACCTAAACTAAATATCCTAGCTCTGCCTCTGCCTGTAGGTGATACCGACTAGTTGGGATTAAACTAGTTTTCAGTGTAGGGATAAATTTGAGACTTCTAGATAACCCTAACTTGCTTAGAATACGAATTATTTAGCTTTGGAATCAAATTGACCTGCACAGAGCCGGATGGATATAGCGGAGTTGTATAGCTAAGTCTCCTAGGGGATGTCCTAGTGGTTGGGACATACAACTTGGAAATCCCATGTTTGACTTGCAGCTATAACACTTGGTAATTGGTATTAGGCCATCTACTCCAACCTTGATGAGCATGATTACCTTGAGAAACTGTGTTTGTGGCTGCGTGATGGATTAAGCGAGATTCGGATACCACCTATATTTTTAAAGAGAGGACTGATTTAACCATTCCCGAATTTGGTGGACTAAGGCATATTGATTGCTTGATGATAAAGCTATTTTCAAATCGATTGTTGATGGCCATTTAGAGGGGGCATATCTTACTATATTGCAAATTGTCGCCTGACATTTAACTAGGTACGAGGATTGTCGGTAGTGTGTCATGAGGATGTATATCTAAGAGGTAGCCTATCAAGGATGATCTTCCTTTTTGCTGGTATCATTTTTCAATACATTTGCTTCTCGTCATTCTTCTCATTACTTAGGACGTTGGGGAATGTAGTTATGTGCTGCTCTCTTGCGAAATTGCAGTCCATGTTCTTTTTACTGTTGGTGCCTCAGGAGGAATTCCTGTTAGGTTGACAATTTCGTTCCACATTCATTGGGCATATTACATGTGCTGTTTTATTTATTAGGTAGTTTATTTTATTTGGATTGCATTATAGGATTGGATCTCCATCACCAATGAGAATTGCTCTGTTAGGTAGTCATAGGCGATACGGAGAAAAGTGGTGGTTGAACTCTGTGCTTATTAGGGAGCTTTTATTTACCCTGCTTGTTTCCACACATCGCGTGCCCCCGGGTGGGGGGGAAGGGGGGGGGGGGGGTCGCTGTCTTAGAATTGTAAAACTTTATACAGGTCTAAGGGATTTTTTTTTTCTGCTTTGTGGATGATTTGTCCATTGCAAGCAGGTGCATATATTTTGAATTTTTTTGCTTTTCATTTGTCCAGACTCTGGAGATGCTTGAGAAGAAGGAGAAAGTGCTTCAGAAGAAGGCTTCTGCAGAGGTTGAGAAGGCCAAAGATTTTACAAGAGCAAAGAACAAAAGAGGTATGGATGAATCTTTTGTGCTTTCTTGGAAATTTTAAATTTCTAGATCCTGTTTTGCTTATGTCGTGTGGACTTTGTATTAGACAATACTCTTATTGCTCCTTTATATCTTGTTTCATATTTAGGTAGGTATAATGGGTTAGTTTGTTAGTCACTGGCTTTGTAAATACTTGTTGCACTTTGTGACTGGATGCTGCACCTGACTGGCTCTACATACTTGCTCTTTTAGTTGCATATCACTTTATTTGCCCCCTTTGAATTATCTAGTATGTGATAACACAGTTTAAAGAGCATAGGAAGTTCTCTAGATCTGTTATCTCTTGATATTTCTTACCTTCTTTTCTCAACTGAAGAGATTTTACGTGAGACTTGCTGCTGGCCTACATGAGTAATTGTCGTTTATGATGCAGCGGCAATACAATGTTTGAAGAGGAAGAGGCTCTATGAACAACAAATTGAGCAGCTTGGCAATTTCCAGCTTCGCATCCATGATCAGGTTTGCTTGTTAATTAGTAACCTTTGTTTAGTGTTCCATGAAATATTGGCCATACACCTATTCACTTGTCAAACTTTCAATTTCTAGATGATAATGCTAGAAGGTGCAAAAGCTACAACTGAAACTGTTGATGCTTTGAGAACTGGAGCATCCGCAATGAAAGCAATGCAGAAAGCAACGTAAGTAACTAAGTTGCTCTATTTAGTTATATCCTCAAATTACTAAAGCACATGTATCCTATTTGTTTTTATCATTTATTTGTACCCTATTCTTTATTCATATGATGTCTGGAGTATATTTGGGTTATTGGAATGGTTCTTTTCTCTTTTCTCTGGTTAAAGATTGCAATGTATTGGCAGGAATATTGATGATGTGGACAAGACAATGGATGAAATAAATGAACAGACTGAGAATATGAAACAAATACAGGAGGCTTTGGCTACTCCAATTGGTGCAGCAGCTGATTTTGATGAGGTTCCCGATCTATCACTTGATTATGCTTCCCTATGAGCTCTATGACATTCTTTGTTGGACAGCCTATATTCTATGCTAGAGTACTTTGTCTACGTAAAATGCTTATGCACTTCTGCTATTTCTGCTGTTGCAGGATGAATTGGAGGCAGAACTTGAAGAGTTGGAAGGTGCTGAATTGGAAGAGCAGCTCCTTCAACCAGCAACTACTGCCCCTGCTGCACCAGTCCATGTTCCTGTGGGGAGGCAACCTGCTCGGCCCATTCCTCAGAGGCGTACAGCTGAGGAAGATGAACTTGCTGCGTTGCAAGCAGAGATGGCTCTTTGAGCTAGTCCCTCTTTTGTTTTAACCGGTAAGCTGTCCAACCAGTCTATCTGAATATTAGTCAGTATGATTTTCAACTGGTAACTTACTGATTAGTGAACTGAGAGCACCTGTCTTTGAAAGATTTCACTAAGACATGCAATTGCCCGAGCCTTCTTGGATTTGAATGATTGAGGTCCTCAGTTGCAATTGCATGTAGTGTATCTAGATTTACACTCATTTGTTTGCAGTAACTTGGAGGACAGTGCTTGTCTGCAATAATTTGTTGGTTTATGATGATATTTTTTCTCTGCAGATATTATCACGGGTAGCTTACATATATAGACTGGTTGTACGCACGCATGATACTACTGCAATTGCTTTCACATGCGAGAGACTACTGCAATTGCTTTCACATGCGAGAGACTACTGCAATTGCTTTCACATGTCTCAATATCTATGTCGGTTAGTAGGGCTATGTACATAATTGTGTTGCAGAAAATGGTGAATTCCATGAACATCAGAATGTATGGTTCATGCTTAAGTGAATCTTATTTTCACTACATGCCTTTTTTCTTTAACAAAATTAAGAATCTCCTTTGTCATCTTGTACCATCTCAGAAGGATGATTATATGAAATGTCTTGTCTGCTTCTGCAAATTGGTGATTGATTGGCTGGTGCATGTCAGTATTTTGTCGTTCTTTTTTATACAGTCATTGCTTGCAAAATCTTGAGCTAAAACCTTGATATGCCTTGATCTTTCCCTGCTCATGCTGTACGCCTTGGTAGTTTAGGTCTGAATGGCAATTGATTTTGGACTAACTTCACGATGTCTGGCTTTGTCTGTGCAGAAGTAGATCATATTCTTATTAGTTCATGCCAAAGTATATTTCATTCTTATCTTTTGATGTTTCCCTTTGTCGTCTTGTAGCATCGGAACTGAAATGAGCTCTTGATTTATGGTTTTCGAAAAAACTGAGATTTAGTTGTAGGGTGTCTTGTGAGTGATTAAACGAGTCATGTTAGATTATTAGCAATGTAGTGAATGGACTTGCATGCTATTCTGCATAGGGGTGAAAAATTAAGCAGTTTGGATTTACAGCTATGAGAATAAGTCACATGCTTGTTGTCAAACCCTCCCTTTCTTCTGAATCAAGAGACCATCTTTAGTCCTTCCGGGGAAAGAAGTAGCTTTGTCAGAGTCGGAGCCAAAATTTAAAATTTGTGGGTTCGAAATTCTAGTCTTTCTAAGCTACTGGTTCTAAATTAATAAATTGTATATTTCAACGAATTTCTTACTACAAATATAGGTCTGGATCAAAGCTATGGGTTCATCTGAACCCGTAACCGAAAAGCTAGCTCCGCCCCTGGCTTTGTAGGTAACTCTGCTTCTATCCTTTGCTTGCGTGAATGTTCTAAGTCCATTTTGCTAGGTCTGGTAGCTTATGGTGAGTTTAATCTAGATAGTTTAAATAAGATACTTGAATGGCGCATTTGTAATTTCTCCACTCTTGAGTTCTCGAATAAAGCGTAAATGGAATGACAATTGTTTCTTCAGCAATATGTCAGAATTATTTTTGGAGATGTTCTCCTTTCCAGTCCCTGCCCCAAGTGGTAAAGATAGGTTATGAATGGCCGATTGGCGGGACAGGAGTCTTGGGGAATGTAAAGTCTCAAGGCATTGGACGCAATGCGGACTAGAAAGGAGAAGGAAAAATTATAGAATTTATGCAATTTAACCATGAATTAAACAAATGAAGAATTTCTGCCTTAGAAAGAATACACGGGATTGATTATCGAACAGAATAAATATGAAATCTACAATACCAATCAACTACCAGAAGAAGAAGAAGAAAAAACAGAAAAAGAAAAGAAAAGACATGGCTACAATAAAGTGCTCAGTGAATCATGTAGGTAATTGCCAAAGCAACCAGCATAAGCACATAGGCTATTCCTTGATCGATTGCAGCTCCTGCAAAAGCAAATAGATATGCTCACTTTTAAATTATTAAAACAACTCATAGATGCTAGTCAGATTCGTAAAACTTGTCATTTATCTAAAATTGAATACAACTCTTGTGACAGTTGTGAGGTTGGAAGGGGAAGGGGGACTGGAGAGAGAGAGAGAGAGAGAGAGAGAGAGAGAGTCACAAACCATCGTTTGAAGGGGCAGGGGCAGGCTCAGGGACTTGAGCATTGATCGAAGGAATAGCAAATGCTAGAAGAAAAGCCAAAATTGTCATTATATAGACTCTTATGACCTCCATTTTCACCTTTTCTTTTCTTTCCTCTTGAAACAGAGAAGAGACAGTGCAGCACACTTTGAGACCTTTGAAATCCTTCTACTAGAACTAGAATGTTGTGTCAACGCTGCCCTAAAAAGTGGTATTTAAATGAGTCAGAGATGAGAGGGAATCCTTAACTGTCACCTTTTTTGAATTTTGATTAAAGGTATCTCCAATCAGTAGCCACTCTGTCAAACTCTTTGTTCCAAGTTTGTTAAGGACCATAGCCTATTTCAGCCGTTGATCATGGCCACGTGAAAGGACAGCAAACGCTGCATGTTCTGGCTACAGGCAGTATTGAGCTGTAGAGTATATAGTAGAATGGTGGACCTCGTACAATGATTGAAAATTCCTTTTCACTCCCCACATGGAATAAATGATTGGCTATCCAGTATGATTTGTGTCTCTTTCTTTAGTTATTTTCAAATTTCAAAATAGATTCTGTTGCTCCTAAATGCACATACAAATATTCGTGGTCAACACGTAATAAAGTGATAATAAAGAGTATAGAACGCACAAAGACTTGTCGTTAACTACCTACTAATTCAACTAAATCGTTATTCAACCAAGCGGATCAAAGGTTGAGTTTTGTTACTAAATTATGGACCAATAACAATAATATACCCAGTGTAATACCACAAGTGGGGTCTGGGGAGAGTAGTGTGTATACATACCTTAGCCCTACCTCATGAAGGTAGAGAGGTGTTACTAAACTATAGATGCAAAATTAAACTAGGACATCAGAGAATTATTGTTTAGAATTACATCAGTAGAGATGAATATTCCAGGGTTGTGGTAAATTCACCAATCTTATTGAGTTCTAGTTAATTTCTCTTCAATTCGGATCTCTTATGGTTGCTAATTAACTGGATTATATATACTCTCAAATTACTACCCGCATGCCCTATATAGGTTAATACCTATATTTGTATGGAATTAATATTCCAAGGACACAGTAAAATCACAATATCCAATTACGCATGGTAACTAGGTATAATTATATCCTAACACAAATCTGTCCCCTAATCTTAGAAATAAGACAATGCTCTCTTTTAACTCTTCTCTGATCTAAAACAGCCTTTTCAAGCATAATCTAGATAGTGGATAGAACTTAATTGGCCATTTTTTCAAGCATAATCTTGATAGTGAATATAGCTTAATTGTTGGCAAGACAATCAAGTAATTAAGCATAGTGTTAAGGAAATAACCATATAATAGCAATTCATATTAAATGCGAAAATAATAATCAAACATTAATATTCATGGCTAATCACAACCTAGAACGAAAGGACTTAGCCACGCTTAATAATCATAATAATTTCACAGGAAATTGAATGATTAAAGTTCTTAGTAATGATGACCAATAGAAGAATTCTCTAGTCCTTGCTCCAACTTTCTCCAAACTGAAGTGTCATTTCCCCCTCCAAATTAGGTTTTGAAACCTTTTTTACAAGTTAGGGACATGTAGGATCGAAAGAAACCTCTTCCAGTCGAAATTGGACAGTTCCCAGTCGAAATTGGACAGTTCCCAGATGGAGGAACCGGGCAAGCGCGTCGCGCTAAGCAGGGCGCTTACTTCATCTTCATCTTCTGCCAGATCTGTTCCGCGCGCTATAGGTAGCGTCTAACACTATCTTGGGCGCTGGACTTGCACTTTGTCCAGTTTTCTTCTTTTCTGCTTGAACTCGTGCACATTCATTCGGTTTCCCTCCCGATCGGTTCCTAGACATATGAACACCAAAGGAAGCTCAACCAATCACAATACACATGAAAATAAATGAGATGTAAGTAAAATGCGAGGTGACACATATACAAATACACATACTTTTAGCCGAATATTAACACGCTACACTTAAACTCTTTCTCGTCATCGAGCAACATAAAACTTCACTATCCCCAAAAACAACTCAAAATGCCACACAATGAGGGAGCATATAACTATTAACCACAGTGCACCTATGACTATGGTTGATACCAATAAGTAAACCTTTGCATATACTTTATATACTTCCTAATTTTTACATGCCAAAGTATAAGTGAATCATTTCAAAGCTTCAAACAACCTGCCCATAACCACCTCACCTCAAGGACCGGCTCGTCGCCACTAAGCATTCTCGGAGAGCACTTACCTAAACAAGAGAAGTCTAATAATGTCACTTATCCATTATAAAATCACGTGCCCTACCACAAAATAGGAGAAGAGATAGTCCACATATTTAATTTACGAGATCAAATGTAATTTAAGGACTTACACACAAGAACAAAAATTTACTCGCTCTCACAAATAAATTCTTGTGCTTCCATGGTCGTATCATAGGCTTTCCCATAGTGTAGGACTCGATTAATCTAAGCCCGCTAAATCTAGGATCAAATATGACTTTACGAGTATAATTTTAAGCTAATGGACAAGTAAGATATATTTGGATATTGGCAGAAAATTGAATTATAATAATTTCACAGGATTTTGAATTATTAAAGTACTTAGTAATGATGACCAATAGAAGAATTCTCTAATCCTTGCTCAAATAGGACTTTACGAGTTCCACCACATCACGAGTAGGCCTTCTTTCTTTAAGAACTTAAGTATTGGCGACTCATTAGCGATGATAAGATATAGTTGGGAAATGTTTTGTTTTTTTCTTCATCTTTTTTTTGTTCTTTTCTTTCTTTTGTTGTTTTGTTTTATTGTTCTTCCTCTTTTTTCTTTTTTTTTCTCTTAACACTCTCCACATGTTTCCGACTTTCGCTAGCGGTTTTTAGCTTATACAAGTGCACCTTTCTTCCCTTATATGGTTCCACTTAAAAGCTACCAAATTTTCTTCCATACTTCTTTCTAGCGCATAGTCTTGCGATTCAAGTGCTTTAGATAAAAGGTTTAACAAAAACAATTAAGAACAAAATGTGATAGGCTTGTAATGCGGTTTCTAAATAAAATGTTTACAAGCTCAAAAGAGCTACTATGGTAAATATTAATAATGGTAGGCATTTATAGCTCAATGGGCTAGTCAAAGAAATGCATAAATCATCTCTTAGACTCAACAAGACTTGCTTATTTCGCTTCGTCACATACACATGGAAAGTTCTGAACTACGCAGGATAGCATAAAACACAACTTCAAACCTCTAAAACACATTACACATGACCCATTTAGGATAGGTTCATTCCAACTCTCAAGTCAAAGCAAGTAATCACATAACCAAGAGATATTAAGCAATAAGAACCGGATGAACATGCGAGTCAAGAACTGAGAGAAGGTGTCACATAACAGGCTATTCGATATTTCAATGACATAAGAATTTTCAAAACTTGCCAGGAAGGTAATTCGCATGCCAAGGCCTAAATGTGCTAGCATCAAACAAGTTAAAAGGCATGTAGGAGCAATTCAGTATTCTTTCCTTAATTTCTATTCTAAACTAAAAAGATAAATACCCAGTTCAAGTTATATATCCCATAAAAAAGAACTGATGCACAAATAAAAACTAAGGGGATTTATTACCCAGCTAAGTCGCTAACACTACCCAGAAGTAAAAACAACCTAATCCTAAAAAAAAAGAAAATCTTTTTGGGTTTTTTGTTAGACTTTAATCCCTCAAGAGAACTTTCCAGGAAATTCATCGTCGGGAAAATGTCCAACCTTTTTCATTTTTTTCTTTTTTTCCTTTGATTTAACTATTAGAGAGCTACTACCATAAGCTTAACCTACTAGAAATAAAAAAGTCAAATGACCAAACAAAAGAAACTTATAATGCCGATATAATTATCCCAAAATAGACACAGGAAGTTTCCCCTATCCCACACTTGGTCAGTGCATTGTCCTCAATGCACTTACAAAACGTAAACAACTAGGGTGGAAAAGGGACTCTTTACTACTCTGACCCCTTTGGGTCGTACTCTAATGTCTCTTCATCGGACTGCGCGCCGCCTGAAGCTCTGGCAAGATTTGTCTTTGTATCGTCTCCATTATCATCAACCTCAACAACTCTTTCCAATTCCAGCGGTCCCTCGACCTCTTCACCATCATCACCTCTCTTAGGAGAGCTTGGAACCGTGTTCTCATCCTTAGACGGGTGAATTGGATTGCTAGGTGTAAGTTCCAACATCTCTTTCATGGCTCCTAATAGAGGATATTCAGTGTGAACTACAACTTCTCATCATCTGTCATTCCTAGTCGCCATATAATCAAGTTCAACGTTCCATAGATGTGGCGGTTGAAGTTCTCATCCTTTTCAGCCTTAGCAGCATTGCTCATCTTCTTTGTGGTGTACAACAGAGCTGTGATGTCCAAGAGACCCTTCTGAGCAGCCTCGATAGCATCACTATCCGAATACTCAGGCACCTTGGGGGACAACATGTACTTCATCAACAGGTTCCCAAAGAACAACCTTTTTACCTTGTTCCCAAATCGGGTGTGATCCATTTCGTATAAATTGAGTGCTCCAATATCGATAGCTTAACTTGGTTGTCACGAGGAACTATGCTCTATACAGCTCTAAATGCTTCTTTTCTTTTTATTCAGGTCCACTTGGCATTGGAATCTACACCAAATAATGTGTGACAGATGGTAGTGTAGATAGGACTACAAATGAAATTCTGTAGAATCCTCGGGTCAAGATTGTCGACCCCCAAGTAATTGTATAGATCCTCTCTAGAGAGGCTCATTCTCTGCCGTCACACATCAGCATGATCATGATTGTGGTTGTAGTTTGCATACAACTCCCAAACCATGCTCAGATTGGCATGCTCAGGTGACTTCAATAAGCGGTCAAGCTTCAGTGCCTTTATCTGTGCCAAGACCTCCGGATAGTTCTTCTTCAGAGTATCTTCATTGATACAGTGCTCAGAGATGTACCAGCCATATGGCTCAAATGGTACCACGCCCCGGCGTTGTCACTATCAAACTCAATAGCCGGGCGGGGCCTCTTGTGTGGTCTCGCGGAACTCTCAGACACTTGCTTACCCTTGGTTTTCTTGCTTAACATAGCCTCACTTTGCATATGTTTCTTAGATTGATAGGTAACAGTGGAAGGTTGTGCAATAGCCTTCGACTTACCTTGCTTCTCACGAGCCGTTCGTACCTAAACCTGCAAACCGGATGCACACTTCATTAGATATATCTCATAAGATCATATAAAGCCAAAATTTAGGATCGGTACGCCCCCGCACTTAAGACTTAAGCATATATGCAATTTTAAGCATCAATGGTCTATTAGCATATTCAACTCAATAGGCTAATCAAGTGAGTTGGGTTCAAGACTTCCTCTTTTAAATCAAATAACCATCACGTGTAGCATATATCATTGTAGCACATGAGCACCACACTTGACATGGACATTGACCATTAAAACATGATCACTATACTAAACTCGAGCGCACACACGACAGTCGCACATGGCATGACATTCTTGTGAAGTCGGAAAAGCCAACCTCGATGTATTGAAAAACCACCCCAAACTTACTTCTAAGAACACCATAAAACACTCGATTACTTGCCGGCGGAAGTTTTAGTCTCACAAACAATTGATTGAAAGTACAGAACTTTTTTTCATGTTTTTCAAACAAGGTGAAAAGGATGTCCCACCCAATATTATTGAGGTGGTGAGAATTATAGTTTACCACCTCATTCATAGTCATATAATAGCCCAACACAACCACGTTTTCCTTCAAACTTCAAACCAATTAGGGAATTTTAGGAAAGGGGGTCACGATAGTGATGATGGCATGAGAGAGATGAAGGGATGATGGGGAAAGGGAAAGAGAGAATAAATAAGAAAGAAAAAAGAAGAAAGAAAGGGGACTTACCTGGGAAAAAAGTGAAGCGTGTGTTGTTAGCAATTGAGCAAGGAGAGAGACGACTCAGAGGGAGGAGGGTTTTGAATTGTTGAGTTTTTGTTTTTTAAAGTAAAGACCAAATCCTTTTTGGTTAATATTGTTTTAGTGAAAGGGGGAATTGGGTCGGGGATATGGGTAAAAAGGTAAAATAATGAGAAGGAAAAGGGTTAGAATCGGGTTAGGGAAGTCTCAGGTTAAGAGGGAAATGGGTAAAAAATTACAAAACTTGCCTGGTTCCAGCGCCACATGAGGTGCAACACGCTAAACCTAGGTCCATAAGTAGCAGAAATTTGAGGGCCAGCATTGAGAGAGGCATGACGTGCTAACCTGGATGCTCAACTCCAAAACTGGCTTGGTCCTAGCGCTACAGAAGGGGCGATGTGCTGTCCTGGGCTATGGGCTTGCTGCACTCCTTTTTGTGCTCACTTTTGGTGTGGTGTTGTATAATTTTTGCTTGAACCTTTGTACACCTTTTTCAAATACCCGTGCCAACTTCTACCTGTAATTTTACGACACAAACAACTACAAAACAAAAATCATCAAAACACTAATCTAACACTTCGCTAAAAGCTACAAAAAGTGATAAATATTGGATTGCTTCCCAACAAAAAACTAGATGCAAAATCCTCCTCAACTCATCAGTGAGTGTCACTTTGGTCCTCTGATGATCCGCCTCAGTTGTCTCTACTTGAGAAAGAGAGACTAAGTCTAGGAAAACTTGGCTAAAAAGAAATTGGGGTGAACTCAAGAAATTGATAGTCCCAATTAAAGAGTCAAACCTAGAGATAGTAAGACCCTACTTGAGCATATATCACTTGTTTTGTGCAATACCTATTTGGACTTGAGAAAGCCAAATTGGGCAAAATCACTCAAACTACCGAGAGGTATAGAGTGGGTAATTGCGTATAATTGCTATATTACAACCCCGACCAATCAAAATTTCCCTAGAGTTTACAACCTGTTAGGTAACCACCTAGGTGGAAGTCACGACCCTAGATCTTTTATCATTTGAAAAACAACCAAAACCAAAAATATTGTCATCTAGTTTTATAATTGCAATCAATAGCTTAAAGTAGAAGTAGAAACAACAAATAAGAATGTGGGATGTAATTTGAGGCTCATCATACAATTACACTAAATATATACCTAATCCCAATTCTAATTCCCTGTGGATTCGACCCCGACCTGCGTTAGGTTTTTATTATTTCTTCAACCGCCTCACTATCTATATTTGTGGTGTGAGTTCATATCTTGATTCTTTTATCATAGTATTCATTGATGATATACTGCTGTACTCACGCAGTCAAGAGGATCATGAGCAACATATGAGGATTGTACTCCAGACGTTGAGGGAGAAGAAGCTATATGCTAAATTATACACGTGTGTGTTTTCGCTTGATTCTGTGCCGTTCTTGGGGCACGTGGTGTTCAGTTAGGGGATCAAGGTTGATTCGAAGAAGATTGAGGCAATTCAGAGTTGGCCCAGACCTTCTTCAGCTACTGAGATTCGGAGTTTTCTTGGTTTGGCCGGATATTGTTGCCGTTTTATGAGGGTTTCTTGTCCATTGTTGCACCTTTGACTAGATTGACCCAGAAGGGTGCCCCTTTCAGGTGGTCTGGTGAGTGTGAGGAGAGCTTCAAAAGCTCAAGATTGCTTTGACCACAACTCCAATTCTAGTTTTTCCTTCAGCATCGAATTTTTATATGGCATATTGTGATGCTTCACGGATTAGTATTGGGTGTATGTTGATGCAGGAGGGTACGATGATTGCTTATGCTTCGCGCCAGTTGAAGCCCCATGCGAAGTACTACCCCGTTCATGATCTAGAGTTGACAGCCATTGTCCAAGCATTGAAGATTTGGAGGCATTATCTATACAGTGTGTCTTGTGAGGTACTTACAGATTATCGGAGTCTACAACACTTGTTTAGGCAGAATGATCTAAATTTGAGGCAGCGGAGGTGGTTAGAGCTGTTAAAAGACTATGATATCACCATTCTGTATCATCCCGGAAAGGCCAATATGGTGGCCGATGCCTTGAGTAGAAAGTCTGAGAGTATGGGTAGCCTTGCATATATTTCAGTTGCTAAGAGGCCGCTAGCATTGGATGTTCAGGCTTTAGCCAATTAGTTTGTGAGGCTAGATTTTTCGGAGCCTAGTCAGACTCTCGCTTGCGTGGTTTCTCGGTCTTCTTTGTATGAGTGCATCAGAGAGCGTCAATATGACGACTCCTATTTGCTTGTCCTTAAGGACACAGTGCAACACGATGATGCCGAAGAGGTTTCCATTGGAGATGATGGGGTGTTGTGGATGTAGGGTCGGATTTGTGTTCCCAATGTGGATCGGTTACATGAGTTGATTCTTGAGGAGGCCCACAATTTCGCGGTATTCCATTCATCCGGGTGCCGCTAAGATGTATTAGGATTTGAGGTAACACTATTGGTGGAGGAGGACGAAGAAAGATATAGTAGAGTTTATGACTCGGTGCCTGAACTGTCAGCAGGTGAAGTACGAGCATCAGAGGCCGGGCGGTTTGCTTTAGAGACTTGAGATTCCCCAGTGAAAATGGGAGCGTGTTACAATGGATTTCATTGTTGGGATCCCACGGACTTTAAGAAATTTGATGCAGTTTAGGTTATTGTGGACCGGTTGACTAACTCTACACATTTCATTCCGGTAGTGACTACCTATTCTTTAGAACGACTGGCTCATATATATATATCTGTGAGATTGTTCGACTTCATGGTGTGCCGGTGTCCATCATTTTTGATTGAGGCACGTAGTTAACATCGTAGTTTCGGAGAGCAGTGAAGCGAGAGTTGGGCACACGGGTTGAGTTGACTACAACATTCCACCCCTAGACGGACGGACAGTCCGACCACACCATTCAAATTTTGGAGGATATGCTGCACGCTTCTGTTATGGATTTCGGGGGTTCATGGGATTAGTTTTTTCCGCTTGTAGAGTTTGCCTGCGACAAAATCTACCAATCGAGTATTCAGATGGCTTCTTATGAGGTCTTATATGAGAGGCGGTGTCGTTCTCCTGTTGGTTGGTTTGAGCCAGGAGAGGCTAGGTTTTTGGGCACTGATTTGGTTCTGGATGCCTTGGAAAAAGTCAAGTTGATTCAGGATCGGCTTCGTTCAGCACAGTCTAGGAAGAAGAGTTACGCGAATCGGAAGGTTCATCATGTTGCATATTTGGTGGGAGAGAAGGCATTGCTCAGAGTTTCGCCCATGAAGGGTGTAATGAGGTTCGGGAAGAAGGGCAAGTTGAACCCTCGGTATATTGGTCCTTTTGAGGTGCTTGAGAGGATTGGAGAGGTGGCCTACAAGATTGCATTGCCACCTAGTCTATCGGGTGTTCACCCAGTATTTTATATTTCTATGCTCCGAAAGTATTATGGTGATCCGTCACATGTGTTGGATTTCAGCACGGTTCAGTTAGATGGAGATTTGACTTATGATGTGGAGCCGATGGCTATTTTGGATCGGTAGGTTTGAAAGTTGAGATCAAAGAATATAGCTTCAGTGAAAGTTTAGTGGAGAGGTCAGCCAATCAAGGAGGCTTTTTGGGAGGACGAGCGGGAGATGCGGAGCAGTCACCCACACCTATTTGAGACTCTAGGTATGATTCTAGACCCGTCCGAGGATGAATGTTTGTTTAAGAGGGGGAGAATGTGATGATCCAGGCGGTCGTTTTGTGTATTGTAGCCCTGTTCTCCTTTTGATTTCTTATTCTATGTTGATTAGGTTATGTGACTTACCGGGGTGATTGGTTTGGTTTCGGGAATGATTCGGAGTAAATTGGGACACTTAATCCCAAGGTTGGAAGCTTAAGTTGAAAGATAGCTCCCTATGAGGCCTTATATGGGAGACGATGTCGTTCTCCAGTTAGTTGGTTTGAGCCGGGTAAGGCTATTTTGTTGGTCAGAGATTTGGTTCGAGATGCCTTGGAGAAAGTCAAGTTGATTCAGGATCGACTTCGCACAACACATTCTCGGCATAAGAGTTATGCGGATTGGAAAGTTCGTGATGTAGCATTTATGGTGGGAGAGTGGGTTTTTTTCCGGTTTTCACCCATGAAGGGTGTGATGAGGTTCGGGAAGAAGGGCAAGTTGAGACCTAGGCATATCGGTCCTTTTGAGATCCTTGAGAGAGTGGGAGAGGTGGCCGACAAGCTTGAATTGCCACCTAGCTTATCTGCAGTTCACCTAGTGTTCCATGTTTCCATGCTCCGGAAGTATCACGATGATCCATCCCATGTTTTAGACATCAGCTCAATCCAATTGGACAAGGATTTGACTTATGTTGAGGAGTTAGTGACCATCTTGGACAAGCAGGTCCGGAAGTTGAGGCCAAAGAACATTGCTTCAGTGAAGGTTCAGTGGAGGGGTCAACCAGTCGAGGAAGCGACTTAGGATACCGAGCATGATATGCGTAGCCAATATCCACATCTTTTCACCACTTTAGGTATGTCTCTACTCGTTTGAGGATGAATGTTTGTCTTAAGAAGGGGAGGATGTAACGCCCCTGCCGGTCGTTTTAAGTATTTTAGCCCCGTTCCCCTATTTATTGTCTCCTCGATGTTATATTGTGATTATGTGACTTTCCGTGGTGGTTGGTTTGGTGTCGGATGAGTTTTGAAGTGGATTTGGACACTTAGTAGGCGTTTGAACATGAATTCCAAAAAAAAATTTCAAATTTGGAATTTCACTAAAATTTGAATTGAAGATGAAGTTGTGTTTGGTTATAATTTTTGCAACATATTTGGATGTCTATTTTTTCAAAACCATGAAACATGATTTACACCCCACAACTTGTAAAAAATATCAAAACCACCCCAATTTGATTATCCTACTTGAAATAAACAATCAAAATGCTATTGTTTAGCTGGTATCATATTCTGCTTTACTGCAATACACAGAAGATGCAAAATCAATATCATATTTTCTAATTCTACTAACACACAGAGAATGTGCAAAAGCAAGCATAGCCACATATTTCTCATAACCATATAATCAAACTTCCAATAGGAAGAGTTCAAGTAACTAGGACTGATGTTCAACCATCAGTCGCCAAAGATGTATCTGCCAAAGATAAAACTGATGGGGTCATTTTATAAATTTTAAGAATATAGGGTAAATTTGTAAAACTAAAAACTAGCAAATTCCCATTCTCAATTGAAAAACTGGTGAGAACCAGTTTTTCAAATTTGAA